CTCTGTGTTATTATTACAGATTTCTGTTCAATCAGACTGATCAAAAGCTTGTTTGCGTCACCTTACCACTTTAAGACGCAAAACCCAATGAGAACAATCCAATCTCACAATCACAGCTTGGTGGCATCATTTTACGCATCTTCAGTTTTTCAAATTCTCTTCACTGCCATCTCAATGGTGTCATAAAATCCAACTCTAATTTGACTTATTGTCTTGGAAAATGGGCTCTGGGGCATTAGTGAGTCTGTTGTCTCTTTCTCAGCCGTTGCTTTTTGTTGAATCAAAGCCAACACAAACACAGGAGATCAAACTGGTGCCCAGATGAAGGTGAGTGTGGGGAGAATCAAAGCCGTTTGATGCACATTCTGTTTGATTTTGCCTCTGCTGACTGACAACTCGTATCTATTAAAGCCTAAAAATAATTGAAAAAAAAAAAAAAAAACTGATGAAGAGCTTTCAGAAGCATGTAAGCACCACCGAAATTCACAAACATCCCACACAACGCTGAGTGAGTACTATGAGTATACTGTGACTGCTATCACTGTGTGTGCAGTGTTGTCACACCTGTTTGGCTTCAACAATACAAAATTACCTCTGAATTTATGGAATATCTCTCCTCTTAGTCTAATTACTTCCTACATATATTCATTATGTGTTAAAGCAGGCTTAAACCAGCCACACTACCACTACACGCTCAACTACTCATACGCAATATACATATATTTTGAGACTAACAATGATCAACTACAAATCTAATTCCCTCTTCTGCTAACCAGTCCTGAGTAGTTCAACAAAAGGTGAACTGTCCACCTTATGGCTGGCTGACAGCTGAGGTCTGAAGGACGAAGATGCTTCACATCTTCATAAATACCCAACTTCGTCAATAGACATTTTTTAACGAGATGTTTTGATCTTAAAAGCTAATTTTGCTCCTGACAAATGTCAATTGTGTGTCTTTTGCTCGAAATGTTGAGAATCACTGTGTGTGAGCATGTTAAGCCTTACAGAGTGAAACTAGGGATGCACCTATCCTCCTCTCTCTCCCCAATACCGGCACCTGCACCAAAGGTATCTGCCGAGACCAGCGCTGTTTTTTTAAATTTTATTTAAAATCTGTAAACCTCGCTGTGTGGAACTCATTGGAATTGTTTTAATGAGCTGTAACACAAAGCCAGAGATTGCCGTGGTCAATACTGATCAGGCATATATTGGATGCACTTTAACGACCAGCAAAGGCGGTAAAACCTCAACCCATAACAGACTACTGAAATGTGCCAATTGCTGCAAATGATAGTGGTGATGCACAGACAGGATCATATGAATCCAATTTAAGATCCCATTTTTGATGATTCCTGCAGGGCTATTCCTTAAATGAGTCCACCAGCAGTTTTGTGCTGTCTTTCCCACTATCTAACAAGGCCTTTTCCCACCAGCAGCATTACACACACACGTACAGTAGAAGACAGCCACTGGGGGGGTGTAGGGAGGGGGTGTGCGTGAATGGTTGTGCAGAAATAAAGAAATAGTAATGGGTGTGAGTGAGCTGTGCTTTTTGGTCCCTAAGGCGAGCGGGACAGAGCTGACGATTGTTCTGAGTGTTGATGGACGTTAACATGTGTTGATGGTAGAGGGTGTAGCGCGTACATCAGAATATACACATACTATACACATACAGTACTGTATTTGTAACAACAGTATTCCCTGCCAGCAGTGAGACTATAGAAAATGTGCTTTCTGACAGGAAAAGTGTTTGTGTGTGTGTGTCTGTGTGTGTGCGCTTACAGGTGTGATTAGGTTATGAGTGTGTTCAGTAGGGAGCACCTCTGGTCCGGGCCACGTAAACAAACCTCGGGCAGCAGAGAGCGTGCTCAGAAAGGCTCAGAGAGACATCAAAGATAGAGGGAAAGTTTGAAGGAAAGAGAGGAAGGAAGCATTATTATTCTAACAGCACAGGTTAATAGGAATACCAAAGATAATATTGCATCTCCTAGAACTAGCTTCAATTGCTCAGTGTATATAAAATTGGAAGAAAGCTATACTGTGATATTACAGTTACATTTCACTTTATAATTCTAAAATAATTTATACCAACAATAGTTATATTTTATAGAATATTTACATAAATACATCATCATATAGTAATATTATTGTCAACACGTCGTTATAGAAACATACATCATACATATATGTGTATATAGTCATGTTATAGCCACACGTACACATACATACAATGAATATACAATCAAAATGAGCTATTGCAATGCTGCGTTGGGTAAAACTCCATCGGACATTCACATCTTCTCAAGTAAGTAAGCTCGAAGACAGGAGTTCAGGTGTATTGCTATAAGAAAGACCCAAGTTCAGCCCAGCCTCACGCAGAGTCTGAGTATTGCTTCGTGTAAAGTTTCTCCCCTCTGAAGTGATAAATCTGGGCGGAGAGTTGAGAAAACAGAGAGAGGAGCTTTGAGCCTCTCGGTCAGTAGGTGAGAGAGTTTCTGCCGCTGCTGTAGGGCAGAACGTTTTTCATTTTCAGCGGACTGATCAAACCAGTTTTGGATCTGCGAGTCCGTCACCTGGATAGAAAGGCAGCCCGCTTAGACGGACAGAAAAAAAAAACAGGTGTCCTGCGTATACAGACAGGTAAGTGTGAAGAGCGTATCCAACAACCTGCCGCCTCTAGAAGTCAGAGAAGAGATCCTGGGGACCCAGATGAATGATAAATGGAGCAAGGGTCCGTGGCTGGTAGAAGGGATTGTCAATGAACAGACCACCTGCAGTGAGATGAAGAACAGAGACAAAGCAGGATTGATTAAATACAATGTGAAGCTTATAGACATAAAATGCTCTTCACTTCTTTGACAACAACATGGGTTTGACAAAGATTTAATGCCTATGAAGAATACTTCTGGACAAAGTTACCTAAAGTCCACTTAAGGAATGCAAAAATCCTCTTGACCAGTAGATTGTATTAAAGGAATAGTTTGACATTTTAGGAAATACACTCACTTGCTTTCTTACTTACAAGAAGCAACTGAGAATATAATATTATCATCCTGATTTTCCACACTGTAATTTTGCTATTTTGTATCTCACAGACATCAGTTGCATGTCTGTCTGTCCTGGAAAAGCGCTCCCTTTGCTCTGTTTGCTCTTCCTGAAGTTTCCTTCTGTTAAAGAGTTTCTTTGGCGGTTTTACAGAATGCAGAACATGCTGGAGAGATTCTCATCTGGCGTAGGAACGACTTGGGATCCCCCAGGAAATGCAAAACGTTAATGGGGAGAGGGACTTCCTGGACTACCTTGCTTGGCCTGCTGCCATTGCAACCTGGCCTTCGAATAAGCGGCGGAAAATGGATGGATGAATGGATAAACAAAATAGACTTGACAAGATTGATACCTCTCCATTATGTGTCTTTAAATGTGAAGCTGGAGCCATAAAATGGTCAGCTTAGCAGGGAAAAACAGCTTGGCCAAAGGTTAAAGGTTAAAAAGCTCAGCCTATCAGCACCTCTCTGCTCTCTATACAAGATATAACACGGACAGAGCCAAGCTAGCTGTTCCCTCATTTCCATTTCCTGGCTGTAGCTTCATATTTAGACATGTGATTGGTATCAACCTTCTCATCTAACTGTCGGCAAGAAAGCCAAGAAGGGTATTCCCAAAATGTTGAACTATTCCTTTAAAATTTTTACAACTAGTCATGAACATACAGTAGAATGAATGTAGTAAAAATGCGTAAATACAAATATTAAATAAAATATTTTGTGCAGAAACAACATACATGTAAAGACTCAAAATGAGATCAGAGTTTTGAGAGTACGGTTTTAAACTCTCTCCGGGGCTTCAGCTTATTTTGCACAAAAAATGAATCCAACCTTGAACAGAAGAATAACATGTGAGATTGAAGTAAAGCTTTGGTTCAAATTATCACTTGAAAAGTTTTACAACAACTCAATGGAGCTCAACCAACCATTGGACAAGATATTGGGTCCTCTCATCCAATGGCTGCGCCTCATAGCTGTAACCATGGAGACGTCGTCGAGGGGGGGTTATCTCTCGCTGGCTGGATGACCGAGATGTGTTGGGTGAAGGGCCACTTTATGTATTTTAGTATCTTTTTTAGCCAAGTTCCTCTTTACTTATGATATTATACGGCAAAATCTTGCAAAAAAGGCAGAGACTCGAGGAAGAGTTTTAGGCCCGAGTTCTAGTGGCTCAGTTGGTGCTGATACTTATTTGAAGGCAACAATGACAACAAGATAAAACACAGAGAGATTTGAATTCATGTGGGTCCCTTATTACTGCTTTTGACGGTTTGGTGCAAGTCAGATAAAGAAATATGGGTATTTACAGTAGAAGTAACAAGTTTTGTTTTTATTATTTGGCTTTTTTTATGCCAATTAAATTCAGCTCCAACAATGTACTGAGCTCCAACAAACGGGCTGCAGTTGGCTCTAGTGACGACATATAAAAGCTCTCTGGATATACTGTAGGTGTTACCTCTGATAGCAGTGGGAAACCTGCCAAATATTAATCCACGTAAGGTAATGAGATCGTGCGGCTGAATGCCAGATGCAGGATCTGACAAGAGCTTTCTAAATTCATCCTTTGTCTTCTTGCCTTCCTCTGAATATCTATAAGCCAAGGGTCAAAAGGATGTAATGAAATGCACCGAGGTACGTGAAGGGATTGAAATTCAATCTGTGTGCACGTATGAGGGTGGAATATTAAAGCTAAATGTAAGTTTAGGTCACAGTATCATATACCAGTTGAATGTTGATTGAAGGCGTACATCTTCCCACATGTTAAGTGATATGAGTGATCTAAAAAGTCGAAATCCGATCAAAACAAACCAAGCAAAACAACAAGGTGCTACTGCATCGTTACCAGCTGAAAGCCTTTAAATCAGATATACACCAGGCAGTGTTCAGCTTTTATAGGAGATAAGCTTTATTCATTTTCCCAACATTATTATTTATTTATTCCTATACATCCTTCACACAGCTCACAATATTATTTACTTTTTTTTTTTTTTTTACAGAGAATGTGTGTGTTGTGTGTATCATATTGCAAAGGCTACATTCTTCCTACAAAGAATACACACAATAACAAAAGGCTGATATACTCAAAGAATGAGGTCACAATTCACAGTACAAATCCTTCAAGTTTTTGTTCATCTCTTAAACCTGCAGTACTTTTTTTTAATATTCAAAAAAGTTTTTTGGAAACAGTAAGAAAACAAAACAAAAAAGCGATTTACAAATCTTCATCTCAAATCCTTTCCCCCATCACTGTTATTGTAAAAAAATAAAATAAAAATAAAACAACACAGACAGGGTTTCCCTTCTAGTAAAAGTATGATTTGTAAAAAGCGTTTGGTATGTCTGAAAAAACGTTTGGTATGAATGTCTCCTGTGCTAAAAGAAGTGGTAGTGGGGAACGGGGTAGCCGGGCACTTTCATGACAGGCAACAGAAGCATTCTCTTGGGCAAACCTAGAGGGGAGACATGAGAAGAGTACAGCTCTGCATGAGTCCAGGGCAACAAATTACCAAGTTTTTCTATGCTCACTACCCTACGCACTACGCTACATCTAGGTCCAACAAACACCCCTCGCACTACACAAACAGGGCTCCCAAAGGGGGGAGTTTAGGTGAGAACAGGCAGGAATGTGTGTATACAAGGTGACACACTTCATCAGAAGGAGAGACATTCAGAGGTAAAGAGAAGAAAACAGCGTTTAGTGTAACGTGGGTCTTATTTCTGTCGTTTCAGCAATCTTTTCCGTTAGTTTCCAGTTTGTACTCATTCATTCACTTGCTGAGATGTGGGAACATGATGACAGTGCTACAATAGCGTCTGTAGTGAAGGTGAGACAGTCAGACAGGTTGAAACTCAAGCTGTTGTTTAGCAGGCCACTATTTGGAAAGTTAAACTTAAAGTTATTTAAAAGTCAATAATAATCCTGCATTGCATGGGGAAACTGCAAACCCACACAGAAGCTCTTGTTTTTGTGTTTTCTCATTTTCAGATAGTCATCTTTCGTTCTTTTAAGTAATGTCACCACATTGGCAGATTTTAGCAATTAAGTACAATCTCATTGTTACCAATGGAAATAAGAGCCAAAACTACACATTTAGTTGGAATAAAGTGGAATAACCCTTTAAAGGAGAGGGCTGCGCTACAGAAATTGTCCTGTAATGTGTGGGAGTGTTTCTGGAATAATGTCTTTGTTCTATGATCTAATGTTCTCTGTTCTATGATGTGATGTTCTGTGTTCTATGTTATATAATGTTTTGTGTTCTATCACGATCTATGTCCGATGATGTAATATTCGGTGTTCTATGTAATATTCTGTTCTGATACATAATGTTCTATAATGTAATGTTCTGTGTTCTATGGTGTAATGTTATTTGTTCTCTCATGTAATATTCTGTGTTCTATAAAATAATATTCTGTATTTTACAATCTAATATTCTCGGCTCCACAGAATGTTCTAGTAAGCTCAGCAGCATTATAGAATGCGTTGTGTTTGCCAACAAGAAAGCCCAAAGCGGCAATAAGCCAGAGCACAGTGAACAAGCAGGAAAAAGGACGAAAGCTATGCATCCAAAAGATAAAGGAGTAGTGCCCAATGTATTCATGTGCCTTCTTTTCTTTACATGTAAGTCCTAATGGGGTCTACTTAAAGACTTTTTTTTTTTACCTCTTCTGGCAAATATAAGTCAGGAAAAGTGGATTTAATATTTACAATATTGTCAGCAGAGGAAATAAAAATCTCCTTCCTGACTTGCAGCCCACAATCCGTGTCTCATTTTTATTCTTCTCTTCATCTGCAGCTCTGCTTTACAAGTCAACTGATTTTAAAGAGAAAAAAATGATTTCTACCACTCAGCTTAACAGCAGGTGTAGCTAATATTTTGTATATATTTGTGTTTTGCCTCAAACTTCCCACAGGCTCTTTGGTCACATGTTCCCACTGAGCAAGAAGTCTACGTTTTGTTTCTGTCTTTTCTTTTTCAATTAACATGAATTGAACCTGAGTTCCTAGCTACTTGTGAGAGCCTGCAGCTCAGGTTAAAGATCACTGTCAGCTGACCTCAGAATGATCACCCACCAGGATGCGTGACATGAACTAATGATTAACGATTTATGCTTCATCACCCCCGCAGGACTGTCACGAAGCTGCCTACTGAATGCCTTCTCAAATATTTTGGATGTCACGGCCGTTAACAAACAATAAAACAGTAATAAAAATAATTCACACCGTCACTGAAATGTTCCAGTTTGATGTAAGCAGAAACTACCAAGGAATATGGTTCTGAGTATCTCAGTAAGCACTTCAGTCACAATAACACGTGAAAAGTGTGTGGATGCCAGGGACTGAAACGAAACACCTCAAACGAACGCAGAGCCCGAGCTCCACCATAAACAGAAAAACTGAGGCGCACTTCATATTCAGGGCTGTTGGGATCTCAGGGGGGGTTACTGAACGTCTGCCTGAGGCCCCAGATCGGTTTCTGCTAGCACATAAGACCCATTCAAGCTCTGAGCTGTAGGATGGACAGAGAGGCCTTCCAATGCTACATGTGTGCACACTACACAAGGCTGAGTCTGTTGAGGTAAATACGACTGTGTGTGACAGAGGGATGTATGGGTACTTATGCTGTTAAAGGTCAAGAGCTAGTATAGATTTTAGACTATAAATGTCTAAAATTCGTCTGTGCATGTGTGTGTGTGTGTGTGTGAGTGTGTGTGTGTGAGACAGAGAGAGCCCAGTGAGTAAATAGAAACTCCTTAGCAGCAGTAACATGACAGGAGCAGCACTGCAGTGGCAACGTTGCCCTGCCAATCTGTCCTAAATAGCAGAGGAACTCACACTATGCGTCCTGCTAATATGAACAGAAATGAAGATGACGGCAGCAGAGGCAGTCGTCTGGGGTACTGTAAGTCCAGGAGAGCTTTTACAGTTAGTTAGAGATGGCTGTTCTAGGACTGCAAGTACAGGTGTGTGTGGGTCACCAACGATTAGGATCAGTTTCTGGGAGTTATGAGACCAAAGCTTGAGACTTTACTGACAGAGTCGTGGTCTGACCATAAGAGATGAGGGCGAGTAGCAACAAGCAGATTAAGAAACAAGTGGCGAGCGGAGAGTTAGCCAAGTTACAGACAGATTTGCTTTAAGCGCACACAAAGATGTTTAAGCTTTGTTTAATTGTGACTGAAATTCACTGCCAAACACTAAGACTTGGATTAGAATCGGAGGACATTTCAAAGTAATTTTGAGAAAAGGAAGTGGAGAAGAAGGGTTGAAGCTGAAACATAACCCTCCTGAAGAATAATTAATTCACCCACTGATGGTTAGCAGTTACGGTATGTTGGGTTAGGGAGGGGAACTGTTTAGTTAAGAGTGGAGAGAAGGTGGAGGAGGGGAAGAAGGTTATTGGCAGAGACAAGAAAGAAGCACGTACCGTATGCAGGAGCAGCTGCTGCAGCAGGGCTGTAGCCATACGGTGTCCCAAAGCCTGTTGGGGAAGAGGTTACAGGGTCAAAATGAATTGCGCACTTGTTTAAATCCTGGCTGCACTTTTCAACATCTTCAGTATCATCAGTAAGTTTAGACGAGGGTTTTGGCCATCCTGCACTCTAGCAGACAGCTGTGGGTTCAGGGGAAGAGAACTGAGAGGAAGTTGAACTCCTTCCACAACATGAACCTGGACACACAAACACTGTACATTCACTCATTCAAGAGGTTCAGCAAGAACACAAAACAATTCAAATTTTCTGCATGACTGTCTATTATTGAGCTATCAGAGAGTCATGCATCAATGTAAGCTCTGTCTCTTGTACTGTATTTTGGTGGCGGGTATTTCTGAAAGCCTGTGATGTTTCCAATACAGTTGCAGAGGGAAGAATGGATCTTATTTGAAACAGAAAACTGAGCAAACAGCCTAAAGCTGACGTAAATGTCAGTACAGTAAAGCAAAGTAAAAGTAAAAAAGTAAAATAAAATGTCAACCCTGCACAAACAACCATGTTTAATATAAAAATAAAGAATGTATAGAACACAAATTCTATACTGTGGTAAAAAGTGTGTATTATTTCATAGGTTGATAGAATTGGCCCTGAAAAAAGACTAAAATTATTCCTAGCCTTAGCCCCCCCCAAATAAATAACAAACAATACATTTTAAAAGAGATGACAAAAATGCCAATTACCTAGATAAAAACAACAAACCCACACACAATTATCCTCTCACTACCTGGTGTGACATATCCAGGTGCGGCTGCACTGACGAAGGCTCCTCTTGCGAGGGCTGCTCTTCCTCTTCCTCTGGCTACCTGAGCTGCTACTGCTGAGGCTGCTGCTGCCGCGGCCAGTGCTCCTTTAGTCTGAACACAGGACACATGATATATGTAATATGTGTGTTTCAAACAATCATGATGCAAAGATAGACACAGATGTGTGTCTGCATAAATATAATGCACAGAAATAAGGCATAAAAGCACACATACACATATCCAAGACATTAATCCAATGCATTATGGGCCTCACTGTTAGCAGACAGGATTGTTGACAAAATAAGTGAAAAATGGACTGTCAAGTATTGATCTGATTAGACACTTGTTAAACTCTGTGCAGTTAATTACCGATGGGTGAACAAATTGGCACACAGCTCTGCAGAGGTGATACTGATTTGAAAAGATGTTTAAACTTTATCATTTATAAAGCTGCGCTGACAGTTTGCCTCTCAAGAAAGACATTTTAGCAAATTACTTTGATTATATGTTTTTGTTTCATTCTGTGTGTACAAATGCATGTTCCCCAGACTGCCGCAGTGCCCTGTCAGTCTGTTATGTACTGTATGTGTCTCTTTACCTGAGGCAATATCTTCTTTTTCTTGTTTGCAGCTGCATTGGGACCAGAGAAGAGTTTTTCCAGAGCTGCTAGAGCAGCACTGGCCTTTGCTACTTTTTTGTTGGGGCCTGCCCCACGGAACTTCTGCCCATCGACCTCCACCTGACGTGCACACACACAAATACACTTATCAGTCATCAGTAACTCAGCCAGGAAGTCTGGCTGAACGGGACAGCTTGTTTAGCGATGCCCTGCTGTCACGCAGGCCTGCTAATCAATCAGCAGAGCGATGGAGCAGCCAGGCATGTCGGAAAACAACGCACCCCACAGAGAACAGGCCTGCTCGAGGAACCAAGTTGACTGATTGACTCTACCGATCATCAGGCTGAGTGAGTGTGTGTTTGTGGCTTTGCCTCTGTATGTGTCTCCCCCTGGGTAAAGTGAATGTGTACTTTTGAAATTTCTCTACATTTTTTCTGATTATATATGTCATGGCTCCCCACTCTTTTCACATGCCTACATGTTTTATAATCTTCTACCACAGTCAGTCTGTGCTGGTACATGAAGCTCTCACCTCCATAACAAAGCGTTTGTCATGGCTGCCTCCACTTTCAGAGATGAGCTCGTATTTGAGGCCTCGTCTCTTTTCGTTTAGCTCCATGACGGGGTTCTTCCCACTCGCCGTCAGTATGGGACCCTGAGTTCGCACCTGGGGGTAAAAAAGATTATTAAATATTATTAAAGCAATTTAATTTAAAAGTATCTTCAGAGCTATATTAGAAAGCACACAGGAACAGTAAACCTGGGGACGGAGCATGATTAGCATGACTGTAAACAGAGCTAAGATTGAACTAATTTTGGATACTTTTCTTTTCCTCAAACCAGACAAACAAAAAGATCCTAAACATAGACTTAAAAAAAGCCTTTGTACTGAGTGTATGCATTTGTGTATCAGCGAAGTTCCTCAATCCCCACCTCCAGTGTGTTGGAACTGTCTGTGGAGTGTGTTGGGTTATTGCTAGTGTGTGATGATGTCTCGCTCTTCCCCTCGCCATCCGACTTCTCATCTGAACTCATGGGGTCCAAGTCTGAGTCGAAACCTGTTGGGTAGCCCATGGCCTGGAGAACCTAGACAGGGAAGATGATGATAAAGTGAAAACGAGTTCGGCAAGAGAAAACAAAAAAACTCAAGCTAAAGACTAGGATTCCAAGAACTAACCATGAATGGTTTTAATATGAACTGTCACATGCTGTTCAGACAGTTGTTCTGAAAAGGAAAGCCTAAATGGTTATATTTACTTTTAGTTTGATTTTGTTGATTTGAAAAAAGTAGGCTTACCTAAAGACTTTGTAGCAAAAAGGTAATACATCTGCAATCGCTTACTTTCCACATGTTAGTAAGGTATAAACTACAACAAGGATGTCAGAGGATCCAGAGGTGTTCTTTAAATGTTGCCTGACACAGTGTTGTGTAAACGGCTAACTAGCTAGCTGAATGAAGTCCTCAATTAACCAGGTAACATCTCAAATCAACAATGTATCAAATGAATGAGTAAATGGGATTTGATAGGATTTTCAATATGAAAATAATTTCACACTTATAGCTTAATGTCCCTTTGTGTGTTTTGAACAGACTTTATTGGCATTATCAGCCATAAAGGTAAAGGTACAGGAAATCAAACCACAATGGTAAATGTGCCAGCCCTCCACTAAGTTTATGACACAAATTATATATTTGAACAAAAATATGTCTCCCATATGCAGCAATACTGCTGCATTTGACAAGACAAGGTTGAATCCAACTTGGCTCAATGGTTACAATAAAGCCATTACAATACATACAGTCACAAGAGCCTACTGTGAGTCCTCGATAGCCCACAGAGCAGCAAAGGCATTCAGAACAATGTGCAGCCAGAAGAGAAAAGGAGAATGACAAGTTTTTGACCCAAATGGGTGATTGTGTTACAGCTGCTGAACCAGCCACTACACTGAGTGAGAGAAACTGATGGAGAGCAGGGAAAGATCAAAAGGTGAGTATATGAGAGAAAGAAAGTGAGTGAGAGAGAGAATGGAAAAGGGGGAGAGATGGGGAGAAAGAGCCTTTTATGGGAATGGAGCGGATAGCGGATTATCCCAGCTCTGTGCTCTGGAGAGCCTCTTTGTTCACAACCACTTTGGGATTACATGGATTTGCCCACCTCCATCCATCCTCACGCACAAACAAAAACACACACACCAATAGGCATACACAGACAAAAACATATTTATGCATACACACAGGTTTGGCTGCAGCTGAAGCTTAGAACGTTTTTCAGGTAGCCAAAAGAGAATCATTTATGTTTTTATATTGGTATGTCTTCTCTGTATATGTCTAAATAAGCACAAACATGAATCAGACAATCACACACATGCCACACACATCGTGACTTCTTTTTCTTACCTTGACGGCTACGTGGAGCTTGGCGGTCTTCTTGGAGGATCCAGACGCTTCGTAAATGGTTCCGTCCAGATCCACAGACATGGTAAAGACCGGAGCATGAACCGGGCCCGACTGGGACAGCAGGCGATACTGCAGCCCCGGCCGGATCTGGTTCAGTCGCATCAAGGCGTTCATTGGCTGGTTGGAGTCTATGGCTTTACTGTCTAGGACTAATGCAAAAAATGGAGGAGTGCATGGTTAGAGTAGAAAGTAGAGCAGATTAGGATAAATTCAGAAAGGGTTTGGAGGGAATGTAACAATTATCCAGCTGGAATTGAACAGACTGTGCCAATTTGGAGGTACTGTATGCGATAAATCATATTTTCTAATGGTTTTTTAGCACCCTTACTGGTTTCTTTCATGATGAATAAACGTGCCTCTCTATTTTCTTTCTCTTTCAATCACTTTGCTCCTGTTTGCCAATATCTAAAAAATGTCTCTCTGTCTCCATTAGTCGTGGTTCATCTTCTCCTTGTATGAAGAAAGAGGTGGGGTTGGTTGGGGGGCCTACTAAAACGTTAGCAATCAATACTATTGATCTGCTTCCAAGAGATGTAAGGAAGGTGGAAGGGAGAGAAGCAGACAGGGAAAAAGACAGAAAGGCAATAGAGACAAGGGGAAGAGAAGCAAGGCCAAGACATCTTTAAGCTCTGCTGCTTTGTTTTCAGTGGTTGAATGCTGAATGAAACTTTTGTAAGATGGTATTTTTACCCCTGCATTTCCTTTATTTCAGTCTATTTATTTCAGTTAAATAGATAGGGTGAATTAATAGAAAAAGCACAAGAAACAATCACTGCCATTGTTCTTTTCTTCCTTCCTTATCGTACCTTTCCTCAGATTCCTCTTCATCTTCTTGATGAGGTCCTTGTCATCCATTGCTCCATCCTCGTATGGCCTCTTCAGACCTAAGCCTGGAGAGAAAGCAAGAGGGAGGGACGCAGAAAGAAACTTAGAGAGAGTTGCTAATCAATCACCAACTACAAGAGATGTTTATGTGAACACACACAGTCACTTATGTGTGACAGAAAGAAAGGGGGCGGAAAAGCTGCAGAAAACAAGTCAGATGTGAGAACAAGCATCAAGATGGATAAACTCACGAACAAGATAAACAGAACAGACGGGCAGACCAGCAAACAGTCAAACAATGAGGAAGACATATAAGCTCCTTTCCTACATGCACTTTAATCTGTAAATGCTCTGGCAGATTTCCATGTGAGCGTCATGGATAGTCGGATTTTCTGTGACAGTCGTTTTGAAATTTGGCCAACTTCAGTTCACAACATCTCACCAAGGCTACCATGTTTTTGGTGTGACGCAGGAAAAAAATGGGAAAATATCAAAGATATCTCATCCTTAAACATATTTTTGTGATGCTCCACATGTCAGCCATATTGAAGGTGCTGTCAGTGCTGGTCTGTACAAAACCCACGTAATACATCCAGAAAGGTCACGTCATGTGTGAAAAGATCTCATGGCAAGTTCGATCTATGGCCAAAAGCCTTCCAGCTGACCCAGATAACTGAACCCTACTGTAGGTTTCATGTGAGAAAAACACAAGCCTTCACACGGACAGATTAACTGAACAGACAGCCAAGGGCGGAAAGACACATGGGGGATGTATTAGACAGAAGACAGGCTGAGGTAGACTGAGCAGACAGGCATGTAGACGGGTACACATACCTTCTTTATCAGACCAAGGGTATTTCTGTGAGGGTTTATTCGAGGGAAGAGGCTCCATCTCCAACACCTTGTAGATCTGTCCGAACGCCATGAGTCTGAGAGCATGCTGTTCATCACAAAACACACACACACACACACAGTATCGAAATTATAGTTAAATGGACAGTATAGGATAGTAGTATGAACATAGAGATCAAATGATGTACTGTTCTTATACTGTTAAAAGAGATATTCCAGAAATCTATTGCACTTGTTAAAACTGGAAAGATCTACAAATCTGTATTCAGATTTGCAAATGTGTACAGAAATCTCTAAATGCAGACATACATATTAAAGGCTGGCTGAGAAGTCTAAGTATTTTCTCCAAGAGCTGGAAATACAGACAATTCATCAGTTACAGCTCAGGCAGGACTCACAATTGGCTGTCTTTTTACTTGTGACGTTTGCTACACTTCTGCTGTGGCAGATCTGCAAATGCGTCTGGCGATTTGTGTGTGTGAAGAGAGATTTGACTGTGTGCCTTAGTAGCCAGGCCCGCTTCTGTCTGATGAAAGCCCTGAGGGTGTAACTAAGTGGGACCAAATAACCTCCGGACCGCTGGAGGCAGTTTAACAAAAGGTAATACAGGGAATACAGTCCCGAGCTGATTTACAGCAGCTGTGGGAATGATGAAGACGCTGTGGGTTGAGGTGGGGGGACAGCAGAGACTTGACGTGGAAAGGAGTGAGAGGGAAGTTGGGGTGTCAGCGCTCACCTCTGAAGGCCTGAGCGGGGGTTACTCTGGGGCGCCAGGACCAAACCCGGCAAGCAAACAACCTCGACATCACATCGGCTGTTCACTTCTGCTCAGGCTGCTGTCACATTGTGGTCAGCTGGCTCCAGCAGTACCGCGCAACATTCAACTAGCTAGCTGCTTACTTTAGCCACGGCAGACGTGTAGCAAAAGTTACATGTTACATTTTAGTTTTATATGAGCACTAGATCTCGACCTACAACTATCTATAAAAAGAGTTATCTTGCAACACTCAAAGATAACTGGAGTAGACATGATTTTAAATTTTCACACTACTGACCAGTGTGTTTGTGTGTTCATTCATCAATTCTCAACCCACTGTACACATCCTCATTCTACAAAAACAATCAGAGAGATAACCAGAATGGCACACAGTGGCTCTGCTAATATAAATCCATTAGGGAGGTAGAGTGTCTCAGATATTCATGAGGCTCTGCGTAGCTCATTGACAGAACAGCTCCCTCTCTCCTATCTGCTCTTGTATCTGCTCCAATACAATTATCCCCATTGACATTCCAGCCTCGTTCAGGCTGCCTTCAAAGGAAATGGACGGCGGGGTTCACTAAGCCATGCGGCTCAGAGGTTGCCCTGCTCAGTCGAGTGTGTGTGTGAAGAAGGACATGGCAGCACACATGCCCACAGTGCATGCACGCAAATACTGTCCTCAGGGTGTCAGAAATGGATTTATGGCTTGCAATGGCAATAGTTTCCCACACCAATCATTAAAATGCAGCACCACACAGCTCTTCCTGGAGACGCATATGCACGCTCGCACAAGTGTGTGTGTGTGTGTGTGTGTGTGTGTGTGTGCGTGCAGAGCGTGCGGTTGGGGTGGTGATGGGGTCTTTCTGTCTGGTAATAGGCGTGTTGCTTACTGATTCCCACACACTGACAGCTCGGGGCGAGTACAGCTGGGTGATAACAACAGAGTCTTTAAGCTGATGTGTGTGTGTGTGTGTGTACCTGTGCACTGTAGGTAATGGCCTCAGCCTGCTGGTCGGTCATGTTGGCTAGTGTGTTTGTTGGCTCTTTCTCACATGGGTCGTGTAAACCTGGACCACCTGGGGGAAGTGACAGAAGATGACACATACACACACACAAAGCCAGTTGTTGTCACTTTACATACTGACACTGCCGCTCAGCAACATTTAATTAGGCTTCACTGTCACGGACATGAGCAACAATGGAAAACTTGACTATTAAAATAAAACAACAGCAGTTATAGGAGAATTGAACTGGCCAAACTGGCTGTGAAATATTAAAACCAGTAATTTAGTTTCTTTAAAAGGTGAAAATCATCCCACATTTAAATTTGAATACTGTAATGTGAACATTCTCCTGCCAGTGTGGCACACTGTTCCTCCTGTAAATTAAATGCAAACTAGTTTTATTTGTATTTTGTGAGACATTCATGTAATATATTCCCTACTGTTAGTCTGTTATCTGCTGCTGTCAGTCTTGCTTTTGCATCCAAACCATTTTTTTTAATTAAGTAAAATAAAACTCAACTTTCACATACTTTTAAATAACTGAAATTCTTCCAAGGAGGGGTAACATTTTGTGAAGAAACCCTTCAGCCGCTCCTAATTAAGATGCTCTCTTAATGATGGCTTTCCTCAGACAGCTGTGCTCTGCCGGTTCATTGATAATGTCTCGACCTCTCTTAGAGAAACAGCTCAAAAATGTGCCTGGATGTATCTGCTCAGTGTTCATCTACCCACTGGAAATGCCAAGACTTTGCATGAAAACACACATGCTTCTCTGTTGATTCTCAAATCTTTCCAGTATTTATATTCATGCATCCATCATGGCTCCATACCTGGTAGCAGTATGCCTGAGGCCAGACACTCCATGACTCGACGCAGGGCTTCTCCAGCCCCGAGAGGTCTGTTGCAGGTGGCAATTGCCTTCTCGCAGATAAGTTCTAAGGGCTGCAAGAACACACACACAAACACAGATAAACATGTGAAGAAAATAGTGCTGCAATAATCTAATGTACATATAATACCTACAGTGTGTGAAATGAAACTTGAGGAGTGTGGCCTGATACTAGCAAATATTTCCAAAAATGTTGTATGTGACAGAAATTTGAACACAATTCTTCAAATTTCAGCAGAAAAGGTTCAAGTTCAATACTTTCTTTTTATTTGATAGGATTTACACTCAAACGCAGGTTACAGCAAAAGACTTACCCATCCCTTGAGAGGTTCCCAGATGGGGTGTCTATTGCACATGTCTCTGAGTATCCTGAGAACGATAACGCAGGACTTGAGCCCGTTCACTCGAGCCTGTGAGAGATAGAGTGATGGAGAGGGGAGAAGAGGGAAGGACAGAGCAAGAAGGAAGATTAAACAGAAAAAGGGAGGAGGGGAACAAATTGAGCACAGGAGGAGTGATATTTGTGCAAACACATACAGATAACAGCCTGCTTTACACCACAAAGCCATATAATGAAGTGATTGAATCTGTCTAGGATGAGCTCCCCACAGAGAAAGAATAGGTTTAAGACACTAAACATTTTGAATTTTGTTTACTGAACATGTTTTACTTTTGTCTCTGTCTTTAGAAAATTACATTCTGAACTTGAACAATGTTTTTTTTTGTCAGTAAGGTAAGTGAGTTGGGAGATAGATGGGGAAGGATATGGGAGGGGAATCAAAAGGGAAGCATTGACATACTATACAGAGCAGGCAGGTTCACATAATAGCCAAAACGAAAAACAAGTATCAACCATTGCTTTTGTAGCCTTACGATACATCTTTCACTCATCTTTTCCAGTTTATATATAATTTGGTTGCGTGTATTGTATAAAGCAAAAATACACTTTTTGGGGGGAATCTGAAAGTATTTTGTAATGTGTAATATTTGTCCATTTTTGTTCTTGATGTTGTAAAATTCAAACTGAACTGGAGATGAGTAAGCATGAAAACATACGTTTAATTGTAACAGTTCTAATGTATAAATAAAACTTTATGTTATAAAAAATGTGTAATTTGTCCACACTTCTGTCTATTCTTGATTAGTTCAAACTGTGGGCATAATAAGCACCACAGTATTATCTGACAGGGAGTGTATTCCCTCTGGCTGTGTCGTCAGGCTACAATAAGCATCGGGCAGGAAGACAGGAAGTGAGTGGGTGCCGACCTGGAACCACTTGGCGTGTCGCAGCGCTGCCAGGGCCAACAGACATCTGTGTCTATCCAGCACCTCCCCCTCCTCCTCCTCAGCCTCCACTCTCTGCGCAGCAGCACCCAACACTGCCACAAAACAATAACAACCCAATATAGAGAACGTAAAACACACACACATCATAGTCTGAGTGTGTGTGTGTATTTTGCGTGTGTGAATGTATGCAGACACACATGAAAATTGTGTGTCAGTGCACACATACACACACACATGCATGGATATTTTGGTACATACAAGGTGCTTTTCATTCCATAAAGTTGTTTCTCTCCTTGTAGAAAGCGCGGACTCTCTACAGTTCACCGATCTGTGATGAATGCTCGTAAGAACGTCCTCACTCTTTGAATGGTGTGTCATTTTCAACACTGTGATCAGTCTAACATGTGTTTATAGCATCACATGTTGACGTTCTTAGCACATAGTAATACAGGATCCCTTGTATACATATAAGTGTTGAAAATTATGCACACTATTCAAAAGTGATTTAGTAGTTTACATCCATCTAGTTACTGAAAAAACAGTGAAAGGGAGAGCGACCGGGGTCACAAGGGAAGAGACAACTTTGTGGTATGGAGAGCCCCCCAACAGACATACACCAAACAAATACCTAAGGAGTGTTTGATTTAATGTGCGCGCTTTGTTGGGAAACACACATTTCACTGCGCCCAGCAAGGTAAATCAATCTCTCCTTCATGTATTTGAAGAGGATTTCATTTATTTTGATCCAGTCTGCGCCAGGCAGGAGTCAAAATAGCGGTATATTTTTCTTCTGCATTACTTAAGGCGCACTTGATTTCACAGACTCGTAGAGAAATGGTGCAGAGAAAGCAGTTCAACACCTGTCTGGGCATACACAGAATCAAGCGCTCCTAAAGTAGAACTGAAAATAAAAAAATAAAAAATCTAAGATAGTTTGACCCAGTCTCAGACAAACACAACACGGGAGGGATCAAGGCAGGGTTTAGTCAGAGAATCGTGGTTGGTAAAAGAGGAGCATTCCTGCGTTTTTATGTGTGAGCGTTTGATTCATGCTGCCCAGCACCCCAGGCTGGTTGAGTTACTACACTCTCACCAATTCTGCTACTTGAGAGTCAGCATGATGCCTATGATATGCAAGGCGAGCTGAATCAAACGCAGCTGTGTATGAATGAGTGCGGTTACATGGGATTTCCAAAGGGGGTTTATTGTGTGCGGGACCTACTGGAAGTGACATAAAACACAAAGAGCCCTTTGGGTCTCTATGAAAACACAACTTGGTAAATATTTTCCTCATCACTCTCCCGTAAAAAGAAAACCCTTCCCTCAAGAGGTATTAAGTTGAAATGTCAAATGTATCTAATGTGTTGTAGCAGCACGAGGACTACCTATCTCACATTATCCCTGAACTCATCTGGCCATTACTGTAACGTAGCTCTTCCTCTGAGTGATGCATGCAGTGGTGTGTATTTGTCTTCCTGTGTGATGTATAATGGTGTATCTCGGGGTCTGTCAGAGTGATTTCAGCTGAATGTGGGACCGCTCTGCTGCTAGTAGATCATTATAGTCTTTCTCCTCTCGCTTGTCCTCCCACTGTTCTCTAAAACACTCTGCTGGCCGCTCCCTCACTCAGTGCTCTTCTTTTATCATTATCTCCTTCTGTGTAGTCTGATTAAAAAAATTCCTTTTGATATCGTGTCTCCTCTAATTTACTGTTGCAGCACCCTCCCTCCCTTTGTGGCCACACAGAGCAGCGAGCTGTATCTGATCTGAAAGCGCACCCACGCATGTAGTAAGTGTTCATAGACACAAGGACAATTTCTATTCAATAGAAGTTTACAGAAAAATTCTGCACACAAACTCCACACAAAAGTGGATAGATTTTACTCTATTAACCATATTGTTGTGAATGAGTTTGTGAGTTTTTCAGTTAAATAATCTAATACATTAGCAGTAGCAACCATAGTTTGCTAGAAGAGGTGGTGACATACTACTGGTATTTCTGTGTCGATGCATGTGTTAATGTGTAAAAGGATTAGACCCTGCCTTTTAATATGCGACCCTATTAGACAGACTGGCCCACATCCCTCAACCTGCATGGGTGCCTGCCTGTTGAAATGTGAGCAATTAGACATCCAGCCTGACAGGTATCTTTATCCATCAGGTACTAAATATGTGTGTGCGTGGCTTCTCCTCCGTGTGGTCGCATGCCTGTGTGCTCTTTTGAGAGAAAATACGAGCGGTCTCTTCCATCTCTCCCTGGCGCGTGGCATGATGTACGGCTAGCCTGGCGTGATGCATGATGTACGGCTATCTCTCATCTCTTACTGAGACCTGAGTGCCTATTTGGACGGGAGCCACAGGATGGATGGGCAGCTCGCTACTGCTTGGTTATTGATTTCGCTGGCCTGCTGGCCTTGCTCTCCCGTTCCCACCTCCCACAACCAATTATAACCAGTTCCTGCTACCCATGAAAGCGGGGTAGGGGGTGGGGAGGGAAGATTGTTATTAGACTGAGCACCAGTTCAGTTCAACAACTCGATCCTATGTGTCTCAGCTCTGGTATCGGTCCTGTACCTGTCTTGTCTGTCCCACCTGTCTGTCAGTATCAGTTAATGTAGACAAAGCTCTTGTTTGAGGGAAACAAAAACAACTGAGTTCTAACATATAAAAATACAAGATACAATTAAATTGAATGTGTGTGTGTTTGAGTGTGGACTGAGAAACAGGGAAAAATTACAACTTGTGTGCTTTCCTATCGCCATGTTCCTACCTCGCCCATTCTTCTTCTCCTGTTCCTCCTCCTCCTCCTCCACCACTTCCTCCACCTCTTCCTCCTCCTCCTCCTCCTCTCCTTCCTCCCCATTCTCCAACTCGCCCTCTTCCTCCTCCTCTTCTTCCTCGTCCTCCCTCATTGCCGGTGAGGTGAGGGTAATCTTCAGTGTGAGCTTGGGCTCTGTTGTAGTTTGTACCAAGATGGCTGCCTCGGGCAAGGAGCTTGTGACCTCATATTTCTCTTCTGTCAGCTTCTGTCATGTGTCAAACAGACATAACTGGGTGGTCAGAGGCCAAGGTCACAACACAATTCAGTAGAGATGAAAAAGAAGAAGCAAAATATAGCTGAGGTTGCTGCAAGAGCTTCATCAGGTATGACAGGAGAAATGTTAAAAGAATAATGTGCATGAGAAAACTGATTAGCCTTGCAGATTCTTCATCTCCTGACATTTCCAAACAGGGCTATTTTGGATGTTACTGATATCCTGAACTAAAGCTGCATTTTGAAATGTGAGAAGTGTCTCTAACTTGCTTGTCCGCATATCATAATGGGCAAAAACACTCTTTTAAAAAGTCACATCTGTACGAACACTACAAAATCCCTATAGTATCCATATAGGGCACTGAATTACTTACTATTCTAGAATACTAGAACTAAAGTAAAGCTGCAAATACATAAAAAAATCTTAAATGAAGAAAAGTGACTGAAAATCCTGCCTCTCCTAACAATGACAGCCTGGATCCTTCATCAGATTTAAGTACAGAAAACATCTCTTATTACACAGAGGCTACGTAATGACTTTAATATTTTAAACAATGATAAAAAACTATATGCAAAGCTGTAAGGTGCATTTGATGAAAAAAGGGATGATTGAGAAATAAAATCATGAAAAATGACGAAGGATGATGTGAAGTATGAAAGCTGGTACAATCTGTTCATTGTAATGATCTTGTGTGTTTATTTGTCTGCCTCTATTGCTTCTCACTGCCACATATCCATTTGTGAAATTGTCTATCTTCATTCAGCCTACATTCTGAAGGAATCAATTACTGCTGACCTCTGTGGTCAGGACCAAGTACTGATGATAATGAATTCATGTCAGCACACACAGCAACCACATTTGTCAGCTGATATACACACGCAGTTGAGCACACATGTGCCTACACACTAAAATGAATGGGGTAACAGCCAAGTCCTTTTGCAACGAAAACACATCTTTTGAACACACACATTAACCCCACAGGCAGTAACAGGTAACGCGTGTACTGTATATGTGTAGTTGTTTCTGTTATATCTAGCATATGCTGCTCTACTTGCAAGTTGACTATGTGGTTGTGTCCAAGTGTGTACTTTCATTAGTTGCGTTGTTGGGCAATAATTAATTAGTTTTAGATTAGAGTAAGGATTGGGTTTAGGTACAGTATGTGGCAGTTATGGTTAGAGATAGAGTAAGCTTCCAGGAAATGAATGCAAGTCAATGCAATGTCCTCCTAAGTGACAAAAACAAGTGCGTATTTTGTGTGTTTGTGTGTGCATTGCC